ACCGTAAGTCTAATACAGTACTGTAATTTTATACATTTCTTGTGAAAGAAACATTTCTTATTCAACGGCGATTAAAATTTATATTAATGATGTCTCCAAAGTTCAACGAAGTTTTCGCAGAAAAATAACATCAGAAATCGCGGCCGCGGTTTGCTGCGCTGTTCCGCGACGAAAACAAGCTTGAGCAACGGCGATGTCGAATGGTGCACACTCGGTAAGTAATCCTACAATTTTTTGTTTATAGCGTACTTTATACGGATTATTTCCAAAAAAAAATATACGTATTTTGGAAATGTTGAGTCGGATTAGTCTAGAATTGATTAATTTTATGGAAGAAAACCTTTCAAACAGCTGTAGTGCATAAACTTCACACGTGTCGGGCTGTGATTCCTACAAAATTGATTCCCAAAGAACAGAATGTATCTACCATCTTATAGGGGGGATCGACTGTATATTTTTTCGTACATAATCGGTTATCCGAAATATCGTTTTTTTCCGAACAACACCAGTCCCCAATTGATTCGGATAAACGACACTCTACTGTAATACTGTAAAGTTTTAAATAAAATAATCTGTATATTTAGAAATTTAGAGAACCTCATAATTCACTGCAGATCAACGCTTGTAAAAACAAAGTAAAAAGTATTTAATAATTTCTGTAAATATCAATAATATAATTCAAATTATTGCTGGTCTACAATAATGTAGAAATGGCCTGGAATTCTGAATCGAGATATTTTACGAAATAAATAAAATAAAATAATTATTACTAAATATTGGATTCATTAAAATTTTAACATGCTTTACTGTGTACTACTTAATTAATCAAATTGGCGATTATGCAAAATGTCCGGTAAATCTAGGATGGTGAATTTGATAAATAATGCATTCTCATTGAGTAACTGTTGGTTAAAAAGTAACCAAACCCAGCACTGGACTGAGAGATTAATATTTGTGCAGCTAATGAAGAATAGTTCATGCCATAAAAGCATTAAGTGCAATCCTTAAGATGCCATACTTGGTTCATCCCTAAAGGTTGAGCTGAAGAAGACATCATCCCTTCGTAATGATGCTGTAGCAGATGTTTGCACGGAAAGGAGCTACAAGAAATAATTGAATCGCTACATCAAAATCAATGCCAATTAAATGGACCCAATGAAAATGTTTCAGAAAAAGTATTGAGAATTAACAGCCTTCATTCAACAAACCCAATGTGACTATCCCTGATTCGTCAACCAAAGTACATTCTAATATGGAAATGATCAGTCTTCAAGTAATCAAGAACAAAAAGGAAGAAGTTGAGAAGAAGTAAGCGAACGCAAAGGCAGGTTTAGAAGCTCAAGCGAAGAAAATATCAGCGCTGAAGTTTGCTGTAGCCAAAGTAAAAGATACAATGAAACTAAGAATATCAGATATGAACAGGGCAAAAGGCGATCCGGGGATTATAATGGCAGTAATATTAGCTATCGAAAATGATGAGTACTATCATTTGGAACAAATGAGATATGTCTTTCATAACTATATACCAGAAACCAGTTTGTGCTATGGTACAAACAATTTCTTACAGTAGAGACTGTACCAAATATCACTTTCTCTTAGGGAGTGTGTAAGGAGATCCAAAGTATCAAAGATGCTCAAATGTAAAGAAAAGTGTAATTCATCCAAATGGAATGAAAAAAAAATGAAAAGTTATGTAACTCAAAATGTCATGATAGTTTGCCATGTTTGAATAAGCAGTAAAAATTATTCGAGTTCTATATTTTTTCCCAACAAATTTTTTGATATTTTTGTACACAATTCTATTATTAAGCTGAAACAGATTTTTCTTAATTTTCTTATATTCGTTAAATCGTTCTAATAGTGAAATAACTAGGCAGGTGCAACAGGTGCACCTGCACAGGGCCTACTTAGAAGGGGGCCTAAAATGCATGTATTTGTTTCATTATTTTCCCAAACCTAATTAATTAAGGGGCCTAACTGCAAATTCTTGTAGAGGGCACAGGAATGGATAGTTACAGCACTGCATTCTAATATTAAAAAACAAAAAATGCATTTTATTAAAATTTGTTTAAATCCCTGTTACTTTATTAAAACAACAAAAGATGAGAAATTTATTATTATTTATGAAGTTTATGAACTGCATTTTGGTAATTATGCAAAGAGCACTTTAAAAGTAATATATTCAGCAATATCAATCAAACTTACCAAATTCATTTGGGAATTGTGTAAAATCACCGGTAAAAATGAGAAACCTTAGAAAAATTTATCAAACTCACCAAGATGATTGGTGATTATGCATAATAATAATCATAATCAGCCATACATAAAAATATGTAGATATGTTGTCAATTTCTCTGCTAATTTGTTCTACATTAATTACAATCTACAATTTAAAACATACATGTTCAAGATTTATTTCCACTCACATGTACGGTACCATGAGCATTACATTATAAACAGGCAATATCTAAAAAGAAAATCTCTTGATAGTCCACTATATAGTATTTGAGATATTAGTTTCAATAATAAGATTACTACTTTTTTAATGCTAATATTTATAATTTAAATGAATAGAAACAAATCTCTCTTTAAGGCACTTTACTAATGTTTTCCTATTTTACTCATGTTCATTATTTTCAGCACTTGTCTTGCTCTTAAAGGGTGTTTTTGGGATTTTTAATATTTTCTTTCATTTGCATTGTTTTTTAGGTCTAGCACTATTACACATTTAAGAAATGTGCATAAATACATTCTTAGAGTTTTATATGCACTGACAGGCAAAACAAAAGATGCAATTTGCTTTAAGGTTGTGGTCTAGATCACTTGACCCATTGTATTAGCTAAGTGTGTCTTAAATATCTTTTCTTAAGCATAGAGTTTTTCTTTAAATTGGAAATTTCATAGGAAATGTGTCCTCCAAACATTTAAAATATTGAAATGCTTATGCTCAATTTTCGTATTTGTAAATTCAGATTTTATTAATAAGTTTTATTGTAAATAAAAGATTTATTTTAAAAAGTCATTTTTTAAGTACATTTTCTTGAATTTTCTTCTAGGATCCAAACATATTTAGAATAAGTATTTAATATTTTTGTAAACAATTATTTATAACTAACTCTTTGAAAGAATTTGTATTTTCTTTGCAAAGAAACCATAATATACAAAATATGTCAATAAATTAATATATATATGTATATATATATATANCGGAACAACGAATTTATGTAGAACTGGAAAATAGTGACTCTGGAAACGAAGAATTCAAAGAACTTGCTTACCACAAATGATACTAGACAAATTCATCGCCAAAACCAAGAATTTCAGAAGCACCAGGACCTTTATCACAAAAATAAACTTTATATTTCTGTGTGCATATGTTGGTATTATGTAACATATATTATTATGCGAATTAATATAAAAATAACTTTAAATTAAAATTAGTTTATTTTTGGTCGCGTGTTCCCCTTTCTCTATTTACTATGGGTTAAAATGACCTAGTTTAACGCTGTTTCATTTAGCTCTTTGTTGTCTAGAAACGCATCCTAAGCGCAAAACGAGGTCTTACTGTAGCTATGCAACATACAAATTTATGTAATTTATTTTATTAAACTAACTATGTTAATCATTTTGAATAGAGGAATATGAATCATCTAATAGAGGTGCTGATTCATCATCATTATGATTAACTCCTCTTACTGAAGTAATACCAGAATCTACCAGACTGGGGTAAGATTCTACAGGTGTTTTCCGAAGTTGTGGAATAAAAGGAAAGTCAATAATTTCATTGTAAAAAGCTGTACCCATAATTAAAAACAGAAAGCCATCCACTGGAAAAATTTAATGTATATTAGTTTTTTCATAGAAAAAATATTTGATGAAAACTATCAAAATGAATTAAGATTTTATAACAAACAGTTTAATTAAAAAATTAAATTTTCAAATATTTATCTATATATAGTGTAAATTCACACAAATTCTACTTGACAACTAATCATTGTAGAGATCATAATTTATTGTCTTAAGTCTTTGTTAAATTTTTATAGAAGACTAAATTTAAATAACTATTTTATCAAATATTTCACTAATATTTTCAGAAAAAAAGAATTTTCAAATATTCATTTTTATTAAATGATAATTAACTAGTTCAGTCAAAACTTCATTCATGAATTACAATATAACGATAATACAGTAAGACCCTGCTTAACGCTGCCTTGATTAACCCTGATTCGATATAACGTCAATGCAACACAGTCTGCTTGAAACCTAAAAAAAAAAATAAACACTTACGCTGATTCAAATTATCATGGCATTTTATTGTTTCATACATAATACGATTATTCCTGAACATGAACCTATCAGCAAAAGGTGCCAATTCGTCGTAGTGCTGTACTTTCCTTAAATCTGTTTGTTGCAATTTTGGAAAAAATATAACATCATAGATGCCATATGCAATATTGACTTTGCTTGGCAAGAATTAACTAATGAATGCATGAATGAAATGTAGAAGTTATAACTGAAGATATCCAAGAATTCTCAACAAGAAAGGGCCTATCATTGACCAAATTGTCAACCTAATTGATACAGCAGGACTAGGAGATGTAGACGAGCAGGATATTGAGGAGTTACCACGAGTTTCTGGTGAGAGCGTTACCATTGACGACCTTCAAGAACTGACAGAACAAGGAATTAGTGTAGAACTGAAAAATAGTGATTGCGAAAAACTAAGAATCCAAAGAATTTCTCTACAGATTTCCTTAGAAAAAGTTTAGTAACTATAACCGAAACTATTGATCAAATTATAGCAAATGATCCAGATTTTGAAAGGAGTGCAAAAGCAAGACAAGGCATTTTGTGATCTCTTGCTACAGACATTTGCTTAAAGAAAAATAAAGCAACAAATTGAAACTACACAACTTTATTGCAAAAAAGAAGAATTTCAGATGAGCCAGAACCTTCATCATGAAAAATGAACTGTATATTTCTGTGTGCATATGTTTGTGTGTTATTTAACATATATTATTACGCATATTAATATAAAAATAACTTAAAATTAAAGTAAAATCTGTTTATTTTTAGTCATGTGTTCCCCTATCCCTATTTACTCTGTATTAAAATGACCTCATTTAACGCTGTTTTCTTTAGCACTTTGTCATCTAGGAATGTATTCCTCGCATTAAGCAGGGTCTTACCATATAATATTAACTCTCAGAAATTATAGTTTATATTATTATAAATTTTGGAATTTTATTTTAAACTATATAGGGTTATTGCTTTTTATAGTTTTAATATTTATATTCTTAAATATAAATTTTAGAACTATGTTTTAATGTAGATTAAAAACGTTTTTTAATCACATTTGAATCTTAAATATTCATTTTGTACTTTTAATAGAGTAAAAATGTTGTTTTCTATTAAATACAAATAAAAAATAAAGCAACGAATAACATAACATACAATAAAATGCCACGATAATTTGAATCAGCATAAGTGTTTATCTTTTTTTTTTAGGCTTCAAGCAGACTGCGTTACATTGACATATCAAATCAGGGTTAAGCAGGGTCTTACTGTATTATTAAAAAAGCTTTGACTAGCATCAAATGATCTGTTGGATTATTTATCAGGATAGATAATTAATTCAGCAGATCATTTGACACTAAAAGTGAATTGTGTTGATGTATATGTTGTTATAAGTTGAGACTACTTTAATTTTATTAGTACTGTAAAATAATTACATTTTCAACATTAGGTGGATTGATCTATATTTAAAAGTAGATTAAAATTTGATCTGCTATTTTATTTATTATTTCTTTATCAAATCTTTACAAAAATTATGTAATTTTATTCAAGAAAATTTATAGATTACTACTATAATATTAAATTATAACAATAATAAAAAATAAAAAAAAAATTACAGATACATTCATCATTTTATCACCAATTTGACATTTTAATGTAAAAAAAGATGAGTACACTTGATGCCAAAATGTAATAAAATGTGTCCAAAACTGTCTTTTGGCATTAAAAATGATACCAAATTGATATCAAAAATCAAGCAAATACTTTTGATGGATCATTGCCATGATCTTCAGGCAAATGAATGGAAAAATAGAAAACATAACTTGTTCAAATTCCAAATCAGAAATTTGAATTGAGAACAAACTTGTAGAATATTAATATACAAATTTTTCTTTTAAGTTACAGAATGAAAAAAATGTTATGTTAATATTCTATGAATTTGTTCTCAATCTGAATTCCTGGTTTGGAATTTGAATAAGTTCTGTGTTCTATTTTTCCATTTGCTAGCTTGATGACAGTAATGTACTGTGCTATTGAAAGTACTTTGAGCTATTTTTAATAAAATAAAGTGTTGTTTTAACATGGAATTATAGCTTTTGAATTCTTATTTTATTGATATTTTAATGTAATTTCATTTCTTAAATTTTTGTATTTTAACCAGTTTTATTAATATCACTAATTTTCTACAAATTTCAATACACATTATATTAAGAATTACATAAAATTTTACTGCTAAATTACCTTGAAAAATTCCATATCTTTTATCAAAAGGTTCACCAAAACTCTATAAATAATAAACACAAAATTATTAATATTTAAATTAACAATTATAATAAAAGAAACATTTGAAAAACTTTACCTTATCAAAGAAATAGTAAATTATTAAACCACAAATCCAAATAACAATTGTTCGACAAGCATCAATTAATGTTCTATGGACAGCTATGATTAGAAAATAAAATTTCATTCAAGTGATCTTTATAAATTATAAATTTATATATTAAATATAATTTTCATTAAATTAATGTTCTAGTATATTTAAATAACAGGTTTAATTAAGTACTTTATTATCCTACCTGTTAAATTCTTTGTTACTGATAACCCAAAATAATTATAAAATGCAATTGATATTAAATATAACAAAGAGAATATAAGTAATTCCATATTATTTCCAATTTGATATAATGCATCAATACTATTTTCATAAACTCCACCAACTTGATTCCCAGGTATAAAGTATAATATAGGCAAAACAACCTACAATAAATGGAGTAACAATAAGACCAGATTTATAAATGAAAAATCATTTTAATATAAAAATCAGAATGCATATAAATAATAAATATTTTATATTACAAACACACAACATAAAATAAATATATTTAATGTTTTATGTCTGTGCATATTCTCATACCAAATGCTCTGGAAGACCATTCCATTGAGTCTCTACACTTGAACCAAAACTGACTAAGATGCTAAATGATCTCAAATCATTGTATGTCATTCTGTATGCAATATTGAAGATTAAGGCACTTCCAACAGTATGGACAGTTGTTTTAGTATATTAACTTCCTGATGCATATCACACAGATTTTTGTAGGCTGCATACAATTACTAAATAGTTTCAATATGATCTTCTTTCACAGGCACTCATACAGTACCAAGAAAAAATTGATGACTTGCTTGAAATAAAGTTTCCTATACTTTCATTAAAATTCTTGATAATAGCTTTTTCTCTCATTTAACTTGACACAAAAATGCCATGTTTATTTACCTATACAGCCTACTTCATAATCTAGTACAGTAGAGCCTCGAAAACTTGGCACTCCGGATAACTCGGCCACACCCTAGCAGGGCAAAAAATCCTTAGTTAATTAATTTTCATGATAAAGACAGCTTTATGCCTCAAAGTATTTTTCTGAGGTCTGTCTTATCAGGTAAATTACTGTACACAGTGTATTCATTAATTTTCATTTTCATGTAGTAAAGGCTCTATGCCTTCATAAAAGACGTACTTTTCCTTTGTTTAAGGGTATTTTGGCAGTTATTCTCTGTTGTATTCTCAAGTAAATAATACATACAAGTACAGTACAGTATTTTCTGAGGAAACACTCATACATATTTTTTTTAACCCCATTCCCGATAACCCGGCATTTTCACATACTCGGCCACCCTTCAGTCCACATTAGGCCAAGTTTTCGAGGCTCTACTGTACCACATACAAACTTTGAGATTTGCACTTTCATAGTGACAAAGTGGTTATTTAAACCAACTGTGAGTGATGAAATATCAAAATTGGAAAAATTTAGAGCCATCCTGTACCTAAATATGTAAAATACAGAAACATTTCCTATTCAATGCTTTCTGGCACTATTGAAAAACAATGAGCAATTATGATTTATAAATTATGAGCAATTATTATCTTGGATTTGAAATATAATAGAATCAACTCTGTTTTTTACGAACATTGCACAACTCATAACTGCAAAATAGATAAGAATGACGTTATAATAGTACACAAAGAAAAAAATTGGTACAAAAGAAAATTTAAGGAAAGCTATGAAATTACAACAGACAAAAATAATTAAAGCGTTCGAAAGCATTTTTAAGATATTAAAACGATTTGCTGGATTATTTAAAGGTTTTGATTTTATTTATTTGACAAAAATAATATTAACAAGAATCTAAGCACAGAAATTCATAAAAACTGGTTACAGCTATTAAAATAGAATGTTTATACAGTCGCAGGCGAGACTGTTTGCAGCATTCTGGGAGTGAGACATTGCATATTGCAAGGCATGCGGGGAGGCCATCATGTCGGCAGGGAAGGAAAGGGGAGTGGGAAGATGTAGTGCAGAAGGTGCCTGACAGATGTCCACAAGATACAACCTATCTATGTAACAGACTGAAGAGGGACAAAAGCCTGAAACACGTATCTATGTGGATTAAAAGTTGTTGATGAAATTACAGTATTTGCCAAGTGTCAATAAATTTGCCAAGTCGTGACATTGAACCAAATGAGCAATAACTTATTGTGACATCATCACAATGCTGGGTTTCAATTTTTAATTATATTTTAAATTTATTTTATTTAAAATATATGTTCTCCACTTCAAATTAGTACTGTAGTGCAGTGAAGTGTACTGTGAAGAAAATAGGTTGAGAATCACTGCTGTAGTGTCTTGCCTCTGTATATCGTACTTTTCTGTTAGCAATGGAGTTGTGCCAATCATCTGCTTTCAATAACTTCTTTCAAGGGAAAACTTTTGAATTGAACTAGCATAACTTCTGGTTTGCATCAAAGTTCCTATATAGTTAATTGGGGCTTCTGATCCCTAAGATTTCGATATCGGGTCTCATCTTTCATCTATCTAACCCTGTTCTTGAGATTAAGACAGATGGACAGACGGATGACAGTGGGAATTTATAAGTCTATAATTTTTTTCAAATTGCAGCACAAAAATGTTACTAAATTTTGTAGGTATATTATTCAAGATATGAGGAAAAAAAAGACAAATATTTGCACCATTAACCAATTTAACATTAAAATATATTTTGTGCAGTGCTACTTTCATATAAAGTTACTGAATTTTGCACTAATTAATAATTTTGAATTGGGTTCCATTATATTTTTTCTTTAAAATTATTTTAAATTTTTTTAACTTTATAATACTTTTAAACTTTTTCTTATTATTAAATTCATAATATTTAACTGGTTTTCTTGATTTGTAGTCTTAAAATCAACCAACAGACAAAAATATTTATACATACACAAATTATTATCATCAAAAATATTTAAAATATATTTTGCACATTATTGTTCCAACAAACAGTTTGTGTGAAATTATTATTTGTTCTGAAATTAATGCATTTACTAAATTCAAATTGAGGCAGATAGTTTTCCTCCTATAAATTTTAATTTCTATCTGATTTATAGATAAGAGACTAATCAGATTCTTTCTTTTTCCATTTTAGAAGAGACATTTGTGTGTGCAGTATAGTTGATTCATCTTTGGATCATATCTTGTGATAGCAGTTTGTGCCTTTTTGTAAAAATTATGTCAGATTATTTTTTGTGTTGCTTCCTCATTTTTAATAATTTTGTGAAGATAATTTGATACAGATTCTTTCTTCAAGGTATTTATTTTTATTAAAAAGGTTAAATTTTTAATCTATTGACATTCATGTAATAGTAATTTGGGTTTTTTTCCATTTAGGTTTATAGTATAAAACTTGGTGATTTTATGTTAGTGTGTCCCAGGGATGTGGTTTGCAGACTATTTAACCACTGGTTAGTTAACCACTGACTAATTTGAATATTTTTTCTTTCATTTTAAGTATGATACTGTTATATAAGTTTGTGTTTTTGTATTTTTGTTTTCTTTTTACTTTTTTGGATAGTTCTCCCACTTTTAGGTTTAAGATTGAATTTACTCATTGTAATTGTAGGTTGTGTATATCTATGACTTGTGTTAATGGATATATTTGTGGTACTTTTTGTATTTCTCTCCACATATGGTTGTACTAGTATGCAAAATTAATTAATTTAAAATTCATAATTAAACATGTACAAAAATTAAAGTATCAGATTAAATAGAATAAACATCACAATTAACTAATATTAAGCCTAGAAAAAATGAAAAAAGCTTTATTAATACAATAAGATTAATAATTTTATTGTATTAAGTGAACATAATAAATTATTTGTATATCTTTATCAGACATACAAATAATTATTTTTTTCCTTGGTATTTTTGTCTTTTAATACTATGTGGACTTGTAAACCGAGTGCTGTCATAATGAATGCTACAAGATATTGTGCGAAAGCTGCTATTTTGTTACAATGATAAATTAGTAAACTTTGTTAAGTATGTAATAAATCTAGCATCTTAAAAAATGGGATGCATGGATTACTCAAGGTGCAGATGTATTAAGTAAACATTAATTTATAACTTTTTTTAATGCAATGCCAATCAACTATAGTGTATACATAACAAAACAACATTGTACTGTTTACATATTATTTAAGGATAAAGGAAAATGTCTTACCAAACTTGTTATAATAAATCCATAAAATCCTTCCATTCCAACTACCTGTAAAAGAAATTTTTATTACATACATGAATTTATTTTAAATATTTAAAAAAAATTACTTTTAATCCAGTAATATTTTTATTTATATAATATTTNACCGCTCACATGCTACAATACACTGGAGATGCGGTTCATTAACCATTCCTTTTTTTTTTTTTTCTTTTTAAATAAAATTATGTCTAAAGAAATTTAAATCTTATTGCCCCAAATGATCGCCTTTGCATAAAGATTTTTAATTTTCTTTAGACAATAAATTAATTAGAAGGCTAAATAGGTATGAAGACTCTTTAACTTTAAAAAAAAAGTGTTGAAATCAATATTACTTACTTATAATTATTGCAGACTGGTTGAGAAATTAAGCAGCAAATTTCATTCAGTTCGAAACCATAAAATGAAATCGTTTAATCAGAAAAGGAAATTTTAAAGGTCGTTTACATAGTACACAGTTACAGTGAATGATGATTCAGTATTCTAACTGGTTTGTCAGCGTGTAAACCAGTTGAAAAACTTGCTCTAAATGTTTCATATATTCCAGTGCCGTATTAAGTATTGATTAACTTTCTTTCCCCTCTTTACGACGATTTAACACGAATATAAGGCAGAATTTCTACTTATAAAAATATTGAGACACACAAAATATACTAGTTTTCAAGTATGTCTGTCGTAATAAGAGTATATACAATAATATTTATAATAATTCATAGTCTACTACTAAATATCATATTTACTTGAATAATCTGCACACACTTTTACCAAAGTATTGTGACAAAGTCAGAGTGCAGTCTAGTCAAAACATATTTGGTGATACAACCCACAAAGTCCAAGGAGCTTCCAGTTAGTATAACAGTTATAACACATTTTTACTTACTTTACTAATGACAAATATAGTCAACAGTTATGGGAATTATTATTACACATTTTAGTGTGACTAATTTTGTGAAAATGAGGATAAATGAAATAAGTTAAATATACAATTAAGACTGACAGTAAATAACCTTTATACCTACATTACCTCTTAGTTCAAGCTATTAGTCTATTAGTATTTTTACCTTCATTTCAAAAAACAAAGTACTCTTACTTTCATTTATTAGTAAGTTAATTAATTATAAAATACATAATTATAATTTGCCGATTATTTATCTATCAGATATACAAATAAAAATACCAAGGAAAAAATAAGTTATCTTTTAATACTATGTGGACTATAAACGAAGTGCTGTCATACTGAATGCTAAAAACCAGTGTGTGAAAGCTGCTATTGTGTTGCAACCATCAATTAGTAAACTTTGTCAAGTATGTAATAAATTAAATTGATCCAGTATCTTAAAAAATGGGATATGTGGATTACTCAAGGTGCAGGATTATTCAAGTAAATTTAATAATTCCAAACTTTAATTCAAAAATAAATTAGATCAAAATTTTTTTCTATTTCTGAAAAAATCCACAAGATTTTTTGTAAAATTGCTTTTATCATCAACAAATTCAAAATAAAAGTACATCAAATGTTTTCAGCTTCAAAAATAAATATTTCAAAACTACAAATAAGATTTAAGGACTGTAATAGAAATCAGTAAAATTCAAAAAATATTTTTGTTTATTATTTATAATTTTGTTTGTTGTCATAGCAACAATTTCAAATAATTAGAATAATAAAACTGATAATGGACTTCTTAAAGTAACTGTGCTGTTGTTTTAAGCAATGAATGAAATAGAAATTCCCCAAGTACATTGGATGGAGTGCTAAAAATCAGTATGCAAGATATTGTCTATTTCTCAAAGCTATTTCTCAGATTCTGGTGAAAAATATGGTGCTCACAGCTTGATCAGAAGATAATCAAAGTCATTTCCAAAAATCACAGTATATCAGTGAGAGGTATTGCAGAAAATTGTGAAACTAATCAAAGGTTCAAAAGGATAAACAGTGTCCAACTATAGCCACATGCAAATTGCAGAACTGGTAGAGGTGACAGATATATATACAGTAGAACCCCTCTAATCCATCACTTTTGGGACTGGGGGTATGGTCGGAATGCAAGAAAGGTCGGATTATCAGAAAAAAGTAAAATAAACAATCTTCTCCTTTGTCTAGTCTTTGTAGCACTGCTAATTTTTCATTTAATGAAAGAGTAACGTGTTTATGTTTCACTCTTGACATGTTGAAAACACACACAAAACTGTACATGTACACACAATGTAAAACATATACTGTAACAAACACAGAAAAACGCCACGGACGGTGAGTCACCGACAAGTCGGGACAAGTTTCTCGACTCCGACCACGGTCGGATTAACCGAAGTGACGGACTAGCCGAGGGCGGACTAGAGGGGTTCTACTGTATATATATATGCAAATGATTAAGTTTGCATAAACATCAGGTCATATGGTACCCAGTATTGGGCTATAAAGTCCAGCAGTCTGCTCAGGCTGTAAATGCTATCAGTGACAGTTCACAGCAGTTGAACTTTCAAAGAAGCTTAGAAAATGCCTTGGAGAAGACAGCAAGCTGAATACCACCAGTTAATTTTTGGAGAATGAGACTGGAATAATAAAATCAAAGTTTTAAATGACTGTATTTTGACTTAAATATGATAGATAATCTTGATGTTAATTAATTTACAATACCCAAGTAAACAAACTGAAATAACAGTAATAAATTATGAAAATTTCATTTACTAGGTGATTGGATTCAAATCTTATTCCCTTATTACAGTTCTATTAACAAATAATCTATAATTATACTTACGATTAGAAGTAACCATAGTTTAATATACACACTAAATTATATTGTTAAAAGTAAAATAAATTGAATATATATTAATTAAAATTTCAAAAATTAGTTAAATAATGATCTAATAATAATTTTTATACCTGAAGTGGATGAAAATTCCTACTTTTTAAGAATATTTCTTCAACTATCATCTGAATAGCACTAAAAACTTGCCCAACTATTATGAGTATTATTCCTAAAAACAACAAATTTCATAATAAAAAGTTAAGAATTTAACAAACATGTAACCATTAAAAATGTAGTAAATAACATTTACTAATCATCTAACATTTTTAGTCTTTTTGATTGACTTTCTTCAGGAAAATACAAAATTTCATAAAAAAAAACAAAGCGTTCCTTATTCTAAGAATGGTTTTTATAAGCTTCTATTTTTGGAATAATAGAAATTTTATATTTATTCAAAATAGAAGCTTATAAAAATCATTCTTGAAATACAGACGGCTTTGTTCTTTTTGTGAAATTTTAAATTTTATGTATTTTCCTGTAGGTGGTCAATCAAAAGAACTGAAAACGTTAGATGATTAGTAAATGTTAGTTACTGCATTTTTAATGGTTATGTGTTTGTTATTGTAATAGTGCACTTACAGAAAGGATTAAGCATTAAGAATTTATAAAGAAAATACTAAAAATAGAATATATTATTACCCAGAACAATTTTGTGATTTTGATGTGCAGAATGTTTTAAAACACCTGATAAACCGACAAGAATCAAGCCTATTACTGTGGTTGTCATACCTAACCACTGTAATCCTTTTAAATTTTTCTTCAAAAAAATTTTCTAAAATGAAAAAAAAATTTTTAAATTTTGATTTAAATGTACAATAATTTTACTATAAATATTATTCATGTGAATCTTTTAAAAACATTTTTCCTATTGCAATGTAAAATTTTTAATGTATTAGTAATGATTAAACTATGAAATTCAAAACTTTCTACAGAACATTTAAAGGTAAAAAGTTAAAATTTGAAAATCAAGCTTCTTAAAATATATAAAAGAATTTATAGGAAAAATTTTACTTTTATTCTTATCTTGATTTAGTATTTTTTTAATAAATGCTTGATATATGCTTTCTTTGTTATTAATTAATGGTGTATTTTTATCTGCAGACATTTCAACTTGATTTTATTCAAACAAAATGTGATGTAAAAATGTTTAAGTCCAAAAAGTCCAAAACAAAGAAAACAGTCTCACATCAGGAATAATGAGTTAAATTTCACAACTTATAATTACATCATATATTTATGTTAAGTATAAACAGCTGTTAATAAGAATACACAAAAACTTTCCATTCAAATCCTAATAAAATTACTGAAATACAGTAGTCATGTTTTGCTATTCTGTATTGCATGTGTACTTTTTGACTTTATGATTTATACGTGCTAAGCTTGTAAACTTCTTATTAAATTTGTGTTAAATTGAATAAAGATACCGATTTTTCTGTTATTTGGTCCAATTTTCCTTTCTTTTCTGCATTAGACAGTTCTTCTATATATTTCTATATAGGTTAATTTACATTAATTTTTGCAAAAAAATCAAGGAACTGAAGAAATTTTCCGTTACAAATGTAAATCAGTCTCTGTAATTCAAAAAACACACTTTGGTATCTCACAGCAATTTCTGGTTAGCAAATTATTTTTTATTTTCCATTGAACTACAAATATATTTTGGGTTGGTATAATGTATTCCAACCCTCCTCAGTGCTAGTTCAAATAAACAAGAAATATTAAAACATGACTATATTATACCATAAAAAACAAACCAAATCAGAAAATCACTTACATTTTCCCATTATGTAAATTACAAAAAAATTCTTTTTTTGTTTTTTGCTCAAAATAGGGGGTGGGAGGGCAAACCTTCTTCATCCTTAATATGTATCCAAACATAAAATTGTACACTCTGCATTAATATACATCTAAAAATTAAAACAACTGTAACTTCTAACAAACAAAGTTCCATTATACACACAATCATTTAAATTTTTTTACACATGGGTATATGACAGACGCAGTAAAAATGTTTAATATAGTAAAAATTGACATACGTATGTAAAGATTTTTGATACACAAACAATATTATTAAAATTATACCAGCATCAGAATTACTAGGAAAAATTTTTTTTTTTATTTTTTTATTTTTTTTTTAAACAAATATTATACCATGTTTAAACATAATTATAACATTTAACTTGTTTTAGTGCCATCTATCAATTCATACCAACGGTAATCAATTTGCATACCTTCTGAGTTATTTATTAAATTATTTTTTTTGTTTCCTTATTTCTAAATGCTCTTTAAACTTTCTTTTATAAGGATCTTTTTCAAAATGCAAAATTTTTATATTACAGTAGAGCCTCGAAAACTCGGCACTCCGGATAACTCGGCCACACCCTGACAGGGAAAAAATATCCTTAGTTAATTAATTTTCATTATAGACAGCTTTATGCCTCATAAAGTATTTTTCTGAGGTCTGTCTTATCAGGTAAATTACTGTACACATTAATTTTCATTTTCATGTAGTAAAGGCTCTATGCCTTCATAAAGGACATACTTTTCCTTTGTTTAAGGGTATTTGGGCAGTTTATTCTCTGTTGTATTCTCAAGCAAACAATACATACAAGTACAGTACAATATTTTCTGAGGAAACACGCATACTTATCCTTTTTTTAACCCCATTCCCGATAACCCGGCATTTTCAGAAACTCTGCCACTCTTCGGTTCACATTAGGCCGAGTTTTCGAGGTTCTACTGTATTACAGTTAATTTTACAATTACAGTTGACCCCCTTATAAGATCATAGATACGTTCCATTCTTTAGGAATCCGATTTCTTACGAGTCGTTCCAATCACAGCCCGACACGTGTCAAGTTTACAGACTACGGCTGATTGAAAGGTTTTCTTCCATAAAATTAATCGATTCTAGACTAATCCGACTCAACATTTCCAAAATACGTATATATTTTTTGGAAATAATCCGTATAAACTACACTATAAACAAAAAATTGTAGGATTACTTACCGAGTGTGCACCATTTGACATCGCCATTGCTAAAGCGTGTTTTCGTCGCAGAACAGCTCAGCAAATAGCGGCTGATTTCTAACAACTTATTTTTCTGCAAAAACTTTGTTGAACTTTGGAGACATCATTAATATAAATAATTTTAATCGCCGTTGAATAAGAAATGTTTCTTTCACAAGAAATGTATAAAATTACAGTACTGT